TTTTTCAACCAATTGCTGAAGTGAATAAGCGACAGTAGTAGGTGGAAAACGACTGATATGATTATGATAAGTATTGCCGCTTGCCGAAAAAAAAGTGGGCCGGCGTCGCCCCAAACCATCCCCCTTGGCACGGCCCGTCATTAGCAGCGTACAGGACTATGGCACCTTTGGATGAAACTTCCAAACTTTTCCTTCGAAATGAAACCAGAAACGTTTATATAAAGCGATATTATGATGGAGACATGGTCCCCGAAGGTTATCATCAACACAAACAATTACAAATCTCATAGAGTTTATTATGGCTGTTTATTTACAATTACAAGGTAATTAATAGGTTATGCTAGCACTGCTGTAAAAATCTGCATATATAAGCTCACACGAAAGGATAACACGAGAACACCGATAGGGTCAACGTCTGAGAATCAAGAAAATCGCTACATATAAATCTGAAGGAATTGCTGTTAGTGAAACGTATCAAAACCAACAATAAGACGATAATTGCTAAAGCACAGAACGCAACGCCGTCCGAGTGTCTTCAGCTCATGACTGATCATTATTCACATGAACGTAACCCATATGAACCAAAAATTAACACTCCCATAACGTAACGTTAATTACACAGTCCTTGATTGCAAATCGGGTAACGAAAAGAAATGAAAACGGAGGAGGGCAAACTACGTGGGCGGAGCTTGACCCGGTTGGGTGGAGTTCGACTCTCGCAATAGGCCTCTAACAGCCTTACGACGTACTTTTCAACAACCGTAAAAGTAGCAACTGTGAACAGTGCCCTATTTTGCGCGAGGAGGGCATTCTACACATGAAAACAATCCTGGACTGTGTCTCTAATGGACGCTACACCTAATAAAATTGTACTCTGCTAAGAAAATGCGAACAACTCTAACCCTAACTATAACAGATAAAGATTTTTCTTGCGGGTAAGTGGATGAAACAAACAACTGTACACTATAAGGTAATGCAAAAGTATTTCAACAGAAGATTCATCTTATTAAAGAATGACGTACGCTCATTGCGTCTTTCGAATAGAAACGATTGCAGCTCTAATTGCTACAGCTCGCACTAGATAAAATGGGTAGAACGAAGCCAGATATCGACTTTTTCACGGCGAGGCTGATCATAGAGAAGCAATGGATGAAGAGATGTCAACGACATAACCTCACAACTCTGAATAATCCGAAATTGAATCATGAAAATAATGGCTAGGTAGAGGTGTACCAGAGATCCATTACCTATTGAGCGTTGGGGGTTGTAAAGACGGGAAAAACCTGCATTGTTCCATAGCCAAAGACGTCACAAGCTGCCACATTTACGTATTATGTGACGTCAATTATACGTCATCTACCCATAACAGATAACGCAGCGGATCTCGGCTACATTAGCGCTCATCCCAAGGTCCCAAGGCACGTCGTATGTCGGAATCCCCAGCTAGAGGGCCGCATTCCGGTCGCTGGTGGGAAGGGGGGGGAGGGGGCGTACTAGTCTTTACGGAAGAAATTTTTCGATTGGTGATTTAACTCGATTTTTTCCGTTTCTTCCTGTTTCATGTGCGCTACTGACCGCCTGCCCCTGCCCCCACCCCTACCCCCTACCATCCCCCGCCACCAGCCCGACGGTAGTTTTTCGAGAAAAAATTCTTCGAAAACTGGAAAAAGTGATAGGATGTTGGAAAAATTTAGGGATGGCAGCAAGGATAAGGAAGAGGGTCGTATTAAAAAGGAAATTTTTTTGCAG